CACCCTCACCCTGCGAGCAAACAAACACTTCCAAGGGGCTGAGGTGTCCCTTTGTTCCCTCTCATTAACCCCCATGGACAAATTATCCGTGGTTTGAGAGGGGCACACACACAGCACTTGGCAGGAAAAGCCACTTCCAGCCTCCCCTCAGCAGGGCAGGTTCAGCTCCCTCTGAAGTTGATTTTATTCCTTTACCTTCAGGCTCTTGAGGAAGGCAACGGCATTTTCTTTTTCCCCTTTGATGTAGAAGGTGATCATCCCAGGACAGCCTGTGCACTGCTTCTGCATCACATGGTACTGGGGGTGGGAAGGCAACCCTGGAACAGGGAGAGTTGGGAGAATTCCCAGTGAATTCCAGTCCAGAGCTGAGCACCCAGCCCCAGGAACAGGGCACCACAGCTCCCAGACCCCTGCCCTGGGGATGCTCCCAGATCCCTGCCCTGGGGATGCTCCCAGATCCCTGCCCTGGGGATGCTCCCAGACCCCTGCCCTGGGGATGCTCCCAGACCCCTGCCCTGGGGATGCTCCCAGATCCCTGCCCTGGGGATGCTCCCAGACCCCTGCCCTGGGGATGCTCCCAGACCCCTGCCCTCTCACCTGGGTAAATGACCTTCTCCACCCGGGGACGGGATTCCAGGAACTCAGCCACAGCCAGGCCGTTGTGGAAGTGCAGCTTCATCCGGATGTGCAGAGTCTTGAGCCCCCGGTTGCAGAGGAAACAGTCAAAGGGAGAGGGGACAGCTCCCAGGGCTGGAATGGGAACAGAATTCCACAGAATTCCACAGCAACATTGGTGTTTTGCATTCAGCAAAGCCAAACACACCCTCATCTCCAGCATTCCTGAGCTTAGAACAAGTGGGAAGACACCCGAGGCAATCTCTGTTCCTCATCTCCCACATTGGGGAGCCAATTAATGAGGCCAATTAACGAGCTCAGGCCTCAAGGATTACATTTATTTGGCACAATGACCTTCCCTGCTGAGGGCACAACCCTGGACAGGAATTTATTCCTGACAAGAAGGAGGAAAATTGCTGGAATCAACAGAGAACAGAAAATCCTGCATTAAGCACACCCTGATGGGTGAGTGAGTTTCAAACCCCCCAAACTGCAGCTGGGCACCTCAAGGGTTTCAGGATAGACCTCAGTGCTCCCCTGAAGTGCCTGGGAAGTGCAGACCAATGTCTCTCCTTCCATGGGAGTTTTTCCTTAGTGGAGTTTTTATTGGAGGATTTTTAATTGCACTTTACTCAGTTCTGCCCATTCCAGTCACATTCCCAGGCAGATTTCCCACTTGTGTGCATGCACACCCTCCCCAGCAGGAGCTGTGGATGTGAACAGGATTCCTGTCAGGAATTCCTTGTCTGGACTTACGGATCTGCAGGAATTTGAGCCTCTCATAGAGATCATCCCGGTTTACAGACACCAGGCCCATGAGAACATCGCTGTGCCCTACAAGTGACAGGGGACAAGAACGGGATCAGCCACTCCAGCTGCTCCAGGGTCCTGACACAAACCCCCAGGGACACCTCCCACCAGCCCAGGCTGCTCCAAGCCCTGCCCAGCCTGGCCTTGGACATTCCAGGCATCCAGGGGCAGCCACAGCTGCTCTGGGCACCTGTGCCAGGGCCTGCCCACCCTCCTGGCCAGGAATTCCTTCCCAATCTCCCATCTAACCCTGCCCTAAGGATGTGCTCAACTCTCAGGCTCACCATTCATGTACTTGGTTGCAGAAGACACACAAATATCAGCCCCCAGGGACAAAGGACGCTGAAAGAAAAGGAAAATAACATCTTAACTCAAGTTTGGGTGCACTCAGGTTCATTCCCAGCCATTCAAAGGGCTGGGAGCTTACACAGGAAAAATGAGTGTTGGAACAAACACAGAAACCTGAGGATGACAAAAGAACATGTGCTAAAAGCAGCAGCAAAGGGAGGCACTCTGAATTCAAGGTAAGCACAGGAAAATGGGATTTAAAAGCACTGCTCCAGCTCCCACAGGCTCCAGGGAGAGAAGAGAGTGAGCACATCCACAGACAGTGCACAGCTGGGAAAAACCAGTTCTATTGCTCAGCTGAGGCAGGGACAAATCATGGCATCCACCCAGAAAGTGCATTTCCATGGGAAATGAAGGACTCTACTGCAAAGCAAAAGAACTGCTTTGTTTTCCAGGTGTTGGAGAGCCTGCCCTGCAGGAGCTGAGAGCAGGAGGAAAGGAGGTTCCCTTGGCAGCTCTCTCCCCTCACCTCCCAGCTCTCTGCCCAGCAGCCCCTGAAGTGGCACAAACCAGGACGTGGATGGGCAAGAGCTGGTGAGCAGTGCCAGATTTTTAATTAATCACTAATTAAGGGACTTTGCACATGATATCAACACATTCTAAAGAGTGAGGGCCATCACTGTTAAAATGGAACGAAGCAGGCAAAGACTGCTGCTGCCACAATGAACACAGACTCCCACGCAGGGAATGTGGAGATGCCCAGCAGAACCATCATGGAAAGGGCCTTTTACCCTCAATATTGATGGACAGATCACTGTGAAATTCTCCTTTTCTTAGCCCAGTGTGGTGCCTCGGCTACTGCTCACACCAATTAATCATTAGCACTGCTTTCCCTCCACACCAGGCTGCTCCACACACATTAACCAGCACCCTGTGTTCTTCCACACAGCCCTTTCTGGAGGAAATTTGGAATTCTGAAGTGAGTAACACATTGCAGGGGAAATCTTGAGGATGCTGCTATGTTCGAGGCCAACTGCAGAGCTGCTTGAGCTAAGCATTAACACTTTTCTGCAGAGTTCTCTTAATTCAGCAAGATCACAGTGCCCTGAACAGGCACTTGGCACTCTGCAAAAAGGGTGACTTTACACCTACAGCACCAAGCCTTAGCTTGGTCTCCTGGGAAATAGATCTGATATAATCCCTTTCCAATCCCTTTCCCCATCCACCTGCCCTGGGGCAGGTGACACACCTGGAAGTAGGCAGACATGAAGCTGTTGTCCACTGCCAGCAGCACCCCTGGCTGCCTGTGTGCCACGTCTGCGCAGGCTTGGATGTCGATCACCTTCAGCGTGGGGTTGGTGGGGGTCTCGAGCCAAACCAGCTGCACAAACCCAGAAATGGCCAGGTCAGAGCTGCCACTGCTGGGCTGAGTCCCAGGGGCTCTGGGGCCCAGAGGTGCCAGCTCCCTGGGGTTGCTGTGCTGGGGACGGGCAGCGGCCCCGCCACAGCGAGGGGAGGCTCCAGCCGGCTCCTCCGAGCTCAGGGAGGTTTCCCGTCAGCCGGGCTTGAGCCATCCCAGCACATCCCAGCTGGAGAAGGCCTCACACAGCCGGGACAGAGCCTTTTCCCAAAGCCTTTCCCAGCGGAGTTCCCTTCCCCTGGGGCAGGGGATCTCCCACCCAGCGCCACCGAGCAGCTCCGGCTCCGAGCTCGGCCTTCCCCTGCTCTCTCTCCCCTTTTCCCTTCCCCTGCTCTCTCTCCCCTTTTCCCTTCCCCTGCTCTCTCTCCCCTTTTCCCTTCCCCTGCTCTCTCTCCCCTTTTCCCTTCCCCTGCTCTCTCTCCCCTTTTCCCTTTCCCTGCTCTCTCTCCCCTTTTCCCTGCTCTCTCTCCCCTTTTCCCCTGCTCTCTCTCCCCTTTTCCCTTTTCCCTGCTCTCTCTCCCCTTTTCCCTGCTCTCTCTCTCCAGGGTTTTTGCCCTTCTTAGGATGTTTTCCATGAGGCAGCACAGTGGGATATGGTGGGTCCAGCTGTGCCCCGAGCTGCCCCCCTCAGCTTGACACAGCCCCAAACTCAACAGGAGCAAGGATAAAACAATTTATCATCCCTTTAAAACCCATTTCCCTCTCCCTTACCTTGGTGTCTGGTGTAATTGCAGCTTCCAGCTCTTTTAGGTCTGTGCAGTCAACATAATCCACTTTCAAATTATACTCCTCTTTTATTTTCTCAAATAATTCTCTTGTGCCTAAACAAATAACCCAAAAATGACAAAATGAAACAACTCCCCTTAACTTTCATTCCCTGCTCTCCAGCCTCTTGCATCATGCAGTCAGCAGGGCACAGCTTTATGCTGCACACCAAAAATGGCACATTTTTATTTTCTTTATTTACAAAGTTGAAAGATTGTTGTGGATTTAATGATATGAATTAGTAACAAGGTGAATATGGGATCAGAGTGATTTAGGAAGTACTTGAAATCAATGTGGGGTTTATGATCAGGAAGTTAAACAGAGATGAAGAATCAAGGGGAAGACTTCAGCTACTGCTTCCCATCCTTCCATTAAAAATGATTCCTTCCTGTCTTTGAAGCCTTTCCCTGGAAGATTAAAAGCTTCCAGCAGCAACAGCTGATCAGTGGATGTGCAGCACTCACATTTTCCTCACACAGGAAAATATTGCCTGGATTAAAAAGGAATTGATTGGGTCCTTTTGCCAAGGTTATCCCCAGGGACTCAGTTCTCCATCTGAGCATGAAGGGATGGAACACAGAGGTGGACTCTGTGAGCTGAAGAAAACACCTGAGGGATGTTTGGTCTTTTGTGAGAAACCCTTTCCTTATAACAAACAAACCAGGGGAGAAACAATGAAATTCACCCCTGCAGAAAAAAGCCCAGGCTGAAGCTTTAATGAGCAGGGAAAGGTCCCTGGGAATCAGAGTGAGCTCACCCTGCTGCAGGACTCTGCCAGAGCTGGCTGCACTCTGCCACTGGGGAGGTGAGTGGAAGGGGCATTGATAGAAACAGGCTTCAAAGAACAGTGAGGTCCTACATGGGAATTCAGAGCTCCTGAGAGCCACAGACGGGTTTGATCCCTTGCACAATGAAGGCTGAAGCCACAGGGTGCTGTACCCACCTTCATAGACCTCATCCATGCTGACAATTTTGTCCCCTGTCTTCAGCAGGTGACAGATGTTCAGAATTGCTCCCATACCAGAAGAAAAAGCCAAACCTGAGGAGAAAGGAGTCAGTGGCAGATGGGCCATGTTTGATGTGACACAACAAGTCAGACTTGCCTTGGCCTTCCTCACTTTGCCTCTGAAAAGAACCTGTTCTGTCACTGTCTCACTGGGAACGTGGAGCCAGTGAAAGCAGGAGCTTGATGTGCACAGCACAGAACCAGCACAGACACTGGGACAGACTGGAATGGGCTGGGAACGGGGGCTGCCTGCTCCCACTGCCTCCAGTGCTGCTGCACAAGGATGGATCCAGCTCAGCTCAGGCATCAGCCACTGTGAGGAAGCAGGAGATGGATCCAGCTCAGCTCAGGCATCAGCCACTGTGAGGAAGCAGGAGACAAACCCAGAGATGGAGCTGGACTCTCCTGAACGAGAAGTTCAGGGCTCTTCCCCACCTTGGAGCTGCTCCTGCCCACAACCAACAGCCAGAGCCGTGGTCACGGAATCATGGAATGGTTTGGGATGGAGGGACCCCAAAGCCCACCCAGTGCCACCCTGTGCCATGGGCAGGGACAGCTCCCACTGTCCCAGGCTGCTCCAAGCCCTGTCCCACCCATGAGGTGCTCACAGTAATTGGCTCCATCGAGGGCGGCTGCAACTGTTTCCAGGACATGACGGTTCGGATTCCCAAACCTGGTGTATTCATAACCCTGCGGTGGGAACAGGAAACAAACATCAGAGAGAGCACCGGGAAAGCTTGGGATAAACCTCTCCCGACCCCCGGCCGCTGTGGGAGCACAGAACCCCAGCTGGGTCCGGCTGGAAGGGAGCACAGCGGCTCCTCCGCTCCCATCGCTGCTCAGCAGGGCCATCCCCGAGCACAGGGCACGGGATGGGGGGCGGGCGGCTCTGGGATGTCCCCAGTGAGGAGATTCCACCGCCTCCCAGCGGAACGAGATGCTCGCGTTTGTCCGGGAGCTGCCAC